TTTTTTCCCCAAAAGGACCGCCCCGGGCCGTTTTTGAACTGGGTTTGGGTTGGACGGTCCCCCCCCCCAAAGGGGGTCTCAGCCCCCTTCATGCGCCCCCAGAGGGGGAACCCTGGGGGGATTCGCCATTTTTGGGGGGGCCGCCCCTTGCTGGTTGGGTCCCCCCCCTGCAAAAAAAAGTTAATGGGGGACCCCCCCCCAAAAAAAACCCCTTTTTGTGGGGGGGGTCGGGCCCCCCCCCCCCCAAAAACACAGTTCCCCTAGCGCGGGGTTCAAACCCTCCTCCTCCTCGTCCTAGTAGCAGGGATGAGCTTAGTTGTGCAGGGGGGGTACCGAGCAGTGTGCGGCCGCTCCTGTCCGACGGAACGCCCGGGCCAAGACGCCAAGCTGGCAGTTCGGGGATTGACAGCGGCTAGCAGCTACCCGCCCTCGTGCAAAAATGTCGCATTGGGTCAGAAGGAACGGAGGCAACCACCTCCGGCACGGCAAGGCGCTGACAACGAGATTCCGAAGACGAGGACGAGGAGGACGAGGTGTCCGAACCAGGGCTTAGGGGTGCCGCCGGCACCCCTAGCGCGCGCTGCGCGCGCGCGTTAGGGGTGCGGGGAGCACCGAAAAATTGCCGTGTTTTGTTGGAAGCGAGGCGGCTGGTGGCGGCGGAGCTCCGGGCGGTGGTGCAGCTGAAGGGGACGGCGTGGTGGGGGAAGGCCGCCTACTGTGTGAATTCCCGGAGCGAAGAAAAAATTATACGGAATACGTCGCTTTTGGGCAAGTTTTTGGAATACGGTGGAATACGCACGTATTCCACTCTCCCCCCCGCAGCGCTCGCGCAGCCGGTCTGCGCGTCGGCGGCCGAGATTTCGCGCAACTGGTCCATCTTTGGCGCCATCAAGACGACGGCACGCGGGCAGCTGGGCCACCCGCTAGGCCACCCGTCGCCGACAAGCGCGTCTACTGCCGGACGAGGCACTCCCACCTCAAGGGCAAGCTGCAGACCGCCGGCTACAAGTAAGGCGGTCGAGAAGTGGGACACCGACTCCGATTCGGACAGCTCGGACGAGGAGGACCTCAAGATGTGAGGCGAGCGCGGCGGTGGCGGCAGGGGCGGGGTGGGCGGGTGGGCGGGGGGCTGGCTGGGTGGGCGGGGGGCTGGGTGGGCGGTGGGGACGCTGCTGAGCACGGGCGGTGGGGACGCCACGCGCGGGACCGAGGATTGTGTGCGCGGCCCTAGGCGCGGGAGCAGAGCTTGTTTTGGAAGAGGTGGAATACGTTTTAATACAGTAGGAGTGGCGGAAGGGCGAGCGCTTCCTGATGATCGCCTGGGGGAGTGATCGGCAGCGGTACTGAGTCCCGGAGCACTTGGAGCACTTGGAGTGCAGTCAGTAACCGCACATCCAGGGCCGGGGAGCTAAGAAGCGCACCCAGCGGGCCGGATGATTGGCATCGGGTTACGGGCTAGAGAGCCCTAGCCCCGGGGGTGCGCGTTCGCAGGGCAAGCAAGGGCCTTAAAGTAAACACGGGTCTCCGAGGGTTAGTTAGTCCGCGCTCCAGGTTTCCCCTAGCAGCGGAGCGCCCCCTCTACTCGGAGCTAATAAACACCAGACACGCCCACGACGGCCGGAGCACTTGGAGCACTTGGAGTGCAGTCCGGGTTCTGCTTTTCTCTTCCAGGCGTGCTGCACTCAGCACAAGCTAAGCACACCTGCAGCGCTGCAGGAGGGAGAGCATATACACGTCCAGGCCACGGTGCCGCTCTGCCGCGCTCTGCATACACACACATATGCTGTACGCCACGTCCAGCGCGAGGTACCTCCGCTACATGGAGGCCGCCGATTCTCCGGAGGATGCCAGCGCCAACGAGGTGCTCTCCGCTCACAGCACGATCGCGAGCCTGGTCTCGCTCACGAGAGGCACCGCCGTCTTTGGCGTCAAGCACTACCTCCGCTACGCTCAGCTCTCGCTCACCCACGGAGACCCGCCGCAGAAGGAGTGGTCGATCGCCGTCGGCCGCGCCGCAGCGCAGACGGCGCGGTTTGCCGAGGAGGCGGAGGGGAGCATCGCGGCTGTTGTCGCCTCGCTCGAGTTGGGCTCGCCGGTCGCGCTCGACTGGCTGCAGGTACGGAGCGGCAGCAGACACCTCGTCGAGCACCCGTGCCAGAAGCTCGAGCCGCTCAGCCGCGCCGAAGAGCAGAGGCTGCTGGCCTCCCACGCCGAGGTGGAGATCCTCGGTCTGACGTCGGGGATGGAGGCGCTGCTGAAGGCCGCCCGAGGCCATCCCGGTGCGCTGGCGGCGCTGCACTCTGCGCAGAAGCACCCGGGCGCGCTGGCGGCGCTGCAGGACGTGGTGGAGAACGGGCGTGGGGCGGTGAGCAAGTACCGCGGCGAGCAAGGCCAGGTCGCGGAGCTGCTCAACCAGCTGGAGCTGCTGGGCCTTTTCGAGCCGCCCGAGCCGCCGCCGCTGACGCCACCGCTGTTGCCACCGCCGCTGCCGCGTACCCGGTCCGAGCACGGGGCCGCGCCGCCGCTGCCGGTGACGGTGCTATCCGGCTTCCTCGGCGCGGGCAAGACGACGTTGCTGAAGCACCTGCTGCAGAATCGGGCGGGCGTTCGCATCGCGGTGAGCTCTAGCCCTTGCCCCAAGCCCCAAGCTCATGGCAGTGCACATCTCGCACCTATCTCATCCAGGTGGTGGTCAACGATATGGCCTCGGTCAACGTCGACGCGGCGCTGCTGCGGCAGGGAGGCGTCCTCAAGGCGGAGGAGAAGATGGTTGAGCTCTCCAACGGCTGCATCTGCTGCACGCTGCGCGAGGACCTGCTGGCCTCGCTCTCGTCGCTCGCGGCCGAGCATCGCTTCGACCACGTGCGAATCTCGCCGCCCACCTGCCCGCCCCTCGCACTTGCATCGGTCCCGCCCCTCTCAAGCCGTTCCCTTCCTCGCGAGGCACTGCCGCCACACAGGCTTTGCCAGCCCGCCTCGGCCCACTCGTCCTGCCCAAATCCCGTGTGCGGAGGAGTTATGAGCTCCCCTCCCCTCCCCCGCACGCAGGTCCTCGTCGAGTCGTCGGGCATTTCGGAGCCGCTAAACTAGATGCGGAGTGCAGACCCGTGGAGTCCGTTGGCAGTCGAGAGGACACGGATTCGGCTGTGGCTGTGATCAGCCGTGGTCGTAGCGCCTTGTATTCGCGCGATGCTCCGAGTCCACTGCGCGAGACGGGGTGCTCACACATCCTGACCCTTTTCACATAGGAGCCGCTGCCCGTCGCAGAGACGTTCGCCTTCAAGGACGAGGCGACGGGCGCCAGCTTGGGCGACGTCGCGAGCTTGCACAACCTGGTCACCGTCGTCGATGCCGCCTCCGTCTTCGACCAGCTGCGTGCTGTCGACGCGCTGGTCGACCGCGGCTGGCAGGCGGGCGAGTAAAGCTGGGGGCTTGAGCCTTGCGAACCCCTCACGCACGCACGCACACACACACACACACACACACACACACACACACACACACACACACACGCACGCACGCACGCACGCACACGCACACACACACACACACACGCACACACACGCACACACACACACACACACCGCACGCACTCACCTCTCACTTGTCACCCGCTCGCCCGTCACCCGCTCACTTGTCGCTGGGCGAGTAGAACTGGGTAGAGCCTCGAGAGGATCGTGAGGCGGCAAGCCTCTCCGAATGCTCAGTGGCGAGAGCGGCGCCACACCCAGCCCTGCCAGTCCCCTCTCCCTCTCTCTTAGCACGGACCCTCACTGCACGGACCCACCTCGAGGACAGGTTTGTCGGCGCAGCCGCTCACCTATCAGCCGCTCACCTGTCACCCGCAGGCCGGCGTGGGCGACTTGCGCAGCGTGGCGAACCTGATGGTCGGCCGGCGGGCACGTCCAGGACACGTCCACGACATGTCCGAGACATGTCCCATAGGCCAACCTGATGGTCGACCAGCTCGAGTTTGCAGACGTGCCCCGCTCGCCAGCTCAAGACGGAGGGGCCGGGAGACGGCCTGAGACACCCCGGAGATCACGGGAAGATCACGCGAGAGAGTAGGTGCTGCTCGTCAACAAGACGGACCTCGTGAGCGAGCAGCAGCTGGGCGCCGTGGAGCGGCTGCTGCGCAAGGTCAACCCGGCGGCGGAGCTGCTGCGCTCGCGCTACGGCGAGGTGTGTTGCTCCCTCGAGACCGCTCGCTGACGCGACAGGGCTGTGAACGGCGCGTCTTCACACCGCGTGCCGTGGATAGGTCGACCCCGCCGACCTCCTCTCCAAGGGGCGCTTCGACCTCCGCAAGGCCGAGCAGCACCCGCAGTGGCTGGTCGAGGCGCGCGAGAAGGGCAGGGCGGCTAGATGCGGACTAGTGGTCCGTGTAGCATCCCGACTAGCGCTCCACGAGAGGACACGTACTCGGCTGTGCATTCCGCTGCACACGCAGCCCTTGCTCGCTCTGAGTAGTACACGTCACGGGGCTGTAGAGCACGCGCCCGAGACGGTCGAGTTCGGCATCTCCTCCTTCGTCTACACTGCGCGGCGGCCCTTCCACCCGCAGCGGCTGCACGACGCCTTTTGCGCCGCCGGAGGCGGCAGGCGCGGCGGCGAGGGCGGCGGCGGCGGCGGCAGGTGCGGCGGCGAGGGCGGCGGCGAGGGCGGCGGCGGCGGCGAGGGCGGCGGCGAGGGCGGCGGCGGCGGAGGTGGAGAGGGCGGCGGCGTCGGGGCGCTGGCAGCCCTCCTTCGCGTCAAGGGCATCGCCTGGCTTGCGACGCAGTGCAGCCAGCAGGCACATGTGGCTCTCGCGGGCAAGCCCGCAGCTCGCTGCGCTCGTCGAGGGGGGGAGGGCCTCCCCTGAACGGGGTGCGCCTGTCCGTTAGGCACTCGCTTCACGGTGGAGCCGGGTGCGCCCTGGTGGGCTGCGGTCGAGCGCAACGCGTGGCCTCGCGGGGGTCGAAAGAGGGCGGCGAGACGGGCGTAGGGCGGTGCGGCGCCGTCTCAGACGGGAACGAGATTGCGAGTAGGTCTCGAGGCGGACCTGGCGGCGGTCTGGGCGGAGACGCACGGCGACCGGCGGACGGTCGCCTCCGCCCCCTCCCCGTTCCCCTCGCCCTTTCCGTCCGCTCCACCGCCTTCGCCGTCTCCGTGCCCACTTGTGCTCCCCCGCGGCTACACTCCACATCGTCTGCCCGCTGGCAGGAGCTCGTCTGCATCGGGCGCGAGCTCGACCACGCGGCGGGATCTAGCCGAGATCTAGCCGAGATCGAGCCGAGATTCAGCCGAGATCGAGCCGAGATCGAGCCGAACTGAGGCCTGAGAGCATGGCGGCGATCCTGCGCTCTCTTGGGCAAGTCCTCAGGATCCCTGCATGGACAGCCTGTTCGGAACCTTCTCGGAACCCTCCCCACAGGCGGCAAAGGCGGCCCTCGACGCGTGCCTCCTGAGCGAGGGCGACATGGCGTGCGGCCAAGAGGCGTGGGCGGCGCTCCCGGACCCGTACGCCGCGCTGTGGGAGGCGTGCGCGCGCGGCGTTGCCGAGATGAAGGAGCAGCACCTTGAGAACCACGTCCCCACGCACGAGGAGCGGATCGCTCGGCACCGGATGCGCCTTCGAGAGATCGAGCAATCGCAGCGGGTTGCGGTCGAGGCATAGTAGCGTGACCACACCTTCCCCCTGCGGGTGTGCGGACTTTTGGATTGGTGCGTCCCACGAACCGCCGCCATGCAGATCGTGATTCGAGTGCGTGCACGTGCGCAGCTGCGCAGCGCGGGAGAGCGTGTGCGGCGCGTGCGGGAGCACTACCTGTGACACCAACTGATACGTGATACGGAAAAACGGGGGTTAAAGATTTTCTGAACTGCCCAGAAAAAGAGAAAGCGCGGCTCGACGGCGGTCGGGGGACGGGGGCGCGAGGGCCGTTCGGCCGAGGCGAAACCCAGATGGATCGTGGTCTGTGCACTATGCCAGTGGGCATGTGCGCGCAGAAAAAACACTAACACACACACAGACACGGGTCGCAGGTGTGGCATAGGAGAGAAGGAGGCGAGCAGCACAAACCACAATAAACAAACCAACAAATCACAAATCGGCATCCAAAAGTGACTTGGCCTCAAAGTAGCGCGCTTCTCGGTCGTCTAGGGCTTCGAGGGCGCTTGCCTGTGATATGGTCCCGCGGAAGGCGGGAGAGGCGTCGCCAGGCTGCCGCGGCCAGCACGAGGGCGACGCAAGCCACCGCGCCCTGAGCAGCCGCCGCGGCAGCCCAGTTGTGCGTCGCGCGGGGGCGGCCTTCTGCCCGCAGCATCGCGACTTCAGAGGCGCCAGCGTTGCTAGCAACGCGCGGCGACGCGGCTTCTTCGGGCACGCAGCACCGGCGGCCGGGACAGACCTGCGCTGGGCACTCGAGCGCCCGCCCGCCCGCACAGTTGCCACTGCAGTAGAAGCCAAACGTTGCGAGCTCGGACGGCGGCGAGAGTGAGGCTGGTGGCGACAAAGGGCGCACACGGTGCGAGGGCGGCGGACTCGGCGGCGGCGGCTCTCGCGGCTACAGCACCGGCCGCAGCTTCGGCTGAAGCCTCGCAAGCTGACGAGGACGCATCAATGGCAGAGTCGAGATTTCTTGTTG